GAATTTCTAACAATCGCTGACATAATATTTCAACGCAAAAAAAGCGAATAAAAGTTGTTTTCGTCGGAGAAAACTTTGAAATACAAGTATCAATTTCAATATCAAGAACTGGCAAAAATCCGGTTTCATCCGGCCGGTTTAACTTTTCGTCCGGTCTTGGGACCGGTTCCAACTCTGCTTTTAGCTTTAATTTGATAATCAAGCTATCATTCTAAAATTAATCTGAGACTGAATAATTTACATTTTACTGGAATACTCCGAAAAAAACTTCCAGTTTTTGAAATTCAGTAACGGCCTCTATTTTGACTATAACTTTTGGTCAGCTTGATCAATCAAGCTCAACTCGTTTTTGGTAGTAGAAATCCCTAATATCCATCATTGGTATAAATTTCATTGATAAACGTTGCTTCCTTGCCGAGATAAAGGTCACAGAAGACGAAAAAATGAAGTTCCGTAACATTCGGCCAAGCAATACAGCTTTAGACCATTTCTAATGACACACCAGAAATAAGAAGTAAAATAGTTTATGGAGTGACAATATTAGTCACAATATTAGTCAAATTAATATTGTGTCTTCGCCTTTAGTCTGATTGGTATCATAACTATCTCTTTGCGTTTGTATGTAATTGTAAATGAATTTGTGTCGTTTTGTAAGCGCAGACCTTTTTAGGCTGATTAATCAAATATACTAGAGCATTAACGGATCAAGAATTCGTTGATCTTGCTAGTTCAGAAAACAAAAATAATGTTATATAAGAATTTTGTTGTTCATTTTGCATGTGTCGCGAAGGGAACTTCTAATAATCAGTGCCTGCCTTTCATTACTTCTCTGAAAGAATGTTTTCTCAACATGAATCGTTTTTGAAACGGATGACTTCAAAGTCGGTGCAACCATCCTGCGCGCCCTTTCTTTCAATTACTATCAATAGGATTCACAAGAGTACTGTGTTTGTCGGCACCCTTCGTGAAATCGGTTTCTATACCACTATTTTTGTTTTCTGAACGAGCAAGATCAACGAATTCTTGATCCGTCATTGCTTGGGTATATTTGTTGAATCATACTAAAAAAGTCTACGCTCACAAAATGACACAAATTCATTTACAATCACACTCAAACACTCAAGATTCTCAGTGAAAATTCTATGCAAATGTCGAAGACATAATATTAATCACTAAAGTTCAGATAATCACCAAAGCAAGAAGACTATATAAGAAACAGTGACATTATGTAGTCATTATTATATACGCATATCGAAAAAGGTGATGCGAGAATGAAACTAAAAGCTATAGTCGCTTCTAAAAATGTCATGAAGATTATCGGATATTTATGATACAGAAAAGAAAAAAGAGTTACATTCTTCTAAAGTGTCCTCGAAGCTTGCGGTAGTGTTTACGGTGTGCCATTATCGTCAGCATACAGATGACGCAGACGTCTAGATTATTAGATCACGGTGGAAACCGAAGTCTTTCAAGTGTTTGAATGACACACAAAAACGTTTCTAGCAGTGTAGATCCTCCTTTAAATTTAGTCCTCTATCAAATGATGTGTCACATTTGAAGCCTTTCAATAAGAGACAAACACCTCACATTATTCAAGATCGCAAGAGATTATGATGAATGCGGAGCGTTTTTCTTTGACTGAAAATTTCTACCTTTACCCGGCATTTGATAGAGAATCAACTTTGAAGGAAACTTACTACTAAACATATTTTCTTAATGGATCTTTTGAACGTTCTGTTTAAAAATATGTACTCAAGCGTTCTCCAGGAGACGTTAATGCTGCTATCGACGTGGGATATTTAATAAAATCGTCCGATATTAATAAATTCAGTTGAGTGTATTCACAGCCCCATTCTTTCTTTGGATCTTCTTTCTGAAGTTCTCGTTATTTCACTGGATTTTGAACTTACTGTAAGGTATTCAAAAAAAAAGTCAAACGACGGCGTTTACCCCGAAATTTTCCCATAGATAGTGTGATAAACTGCAAAAGTGGCTGCCTCTGCCATTCGTCACAATAGTATATTGCGTCATCTTCACATTCACAGTCATATCTCGCTCATACAGAATACAAACTTCTATAGGAGAAAGCTTCGGCACAAGAGAAAGAAATCACTCAGTAGCCAACAGACGAGGATAGGTGTGATGGTGGTTTCTGCCATAGATAGCTTGCATGGTCTTGAAAGTGTAAGTAGGGATGGCAGTTTCTCGTTGAAGAAGAAGACACAATATTAATTTGACTAATAATCTCACTCCATAAACTCTTTTACTTCTTATTTCTAGTGTATCATTTGCTTGTGTTCCTATTGATCAATTATTCAGTTTTAAATATGGACGCGGGTCAAACGGACTGGTCACATGAAAAAAATCCATTGTTTTGGAATGAAGTAGCCCGTTTGGATATTGAACATAATCTAAAAAGACGAGAAAACACGCGAACAGCGAGAAATGTTATCTTCTTTCTTGGCGATGGAATGGGTACTTCGACTATTACGGCAGGTCGAATTCGAAAAGGACGAGTACTTGGTCAATCGGGCGAAGATTTTATCACTGAAATGGAACAATTTTCTCATCTTGGACTTGCTAAAACGTAAGTGTGCCGTTTGCACTTGCTTTCTTGCTCTCTTTTTTATTGTATAAGAACATTAAGATACTGTACTGATCACCAAACAGCAGACTCAGCTGCGACAGCAACTGCCTGCTTTTGTGGAGTGAAAGCACCACTTGGAACAGTTGGTTTAGATGGACGAGCTTCAAGAAAGAATTGCTTGAGTTCGCATGATACCCAAGTTGAAAGCATATTGGATTGGGCACAAAAACTTGGTAAGCATCATCGATTTGCTTGCATCCCAAAATTTCAGCATGATTTTGACGCATGATTATTTCCACTGGGATTTTACCCATGAAAATTATTAGGTTTCAACATTTTATAAATATGTCAAGTTTAATTAGAACGCTTCAAAGAGTAAACACATTTTGTGGACAAAAACATATCTCATTATCGATCTTATGAAAGGGAAACGATGGATTTCAGCATTCTCCTTATCTGTATCCTTATGGTTTCCTTGTATACGTGTCGTATCCGGCCATGACACGACATTACCGCAAACCGCCATTATGTCGACATACACTCTAAAAAAAAATGCAAATTAGAATCAAATTGAGTAGCATTGTTTTAGAGTGTAGACGATAGGAATTTTTTGTCTGGCTATATTAGGGATTGAAAAATTTTCCTATGTTCTACGTCAACATAGACCATGGGTGGCAAATTTTTCATAGTACACATTTGGTATTTCTGGCAATGTGTGGTGGGAGGTGAGAGGTTGAGGGCAGTGTGAGAGTGACTTCGAAAAGTAGTTTTACACAAAAGATATTTTCGTGATGTCGTATGAATTTGCCTTATCTTTTCAAGTGGTTATCTGGTATGAAATTAGTTGAAGATGAATCTATATTAATTAAATTTGAATCCCTAATGTAGCTGGGAGAAAAATTTCTATGATCTATGTCGACATAACGTCGTTCGCGATAATGTCGCGGTAGTGTTGTTGTATCGTACATGTTAGCAAGTAACATCGATGCCGATCATCTTAATTACTCAGTTTTCTGATAAACTCTAGTTTTCATCCAGTCACATTACGACTTCTTGAAAAAATAGTCCCATCGAGCTCAACTTTTTACCACAGATGGTTCATACTCTATCGGGTTCTAAATCCCTTTTAAACGTTTCCAAGTTGAACTTGCGGCTTGAGAAGGCTTGTAGAATCAAAGGCTGGTTTTTGTACTTTTTACATAGGATTGTTAGCATTTTTCGAAGGAAAGCATATTTTTTTGAAAAAAAATTGAAACGTCAGATGGGCTCTGAGTTATCTGTGGTAAAAAGTTGAGCTCGATGGGACTAATTTTGCAAGAAGTCGTAATGTGACTGGATGAAAACTAGAGTTTATCAGAAAACCCATAAAAGAACATGACACAATATCCTGAGCAAAAATACATGCATTTTCTTTTTGAATATTCTATCTTTGGTATAAATTTTTTCGGTTTTTATGATCAATCTCGATTATTAAATGTGCCAGTTTTAACTGGAGCATTTTTACAGTTCTACAGTTATGGTTAACTGCTTTTTAACTGAAACTAGTGCATACCTAGATATAATACCAATATCCTTTAGAATGAGAATAATGAATGAAAATATGAGAATTATAAAAAATTAATCAATTTTTACATCATTAAATTTTCCGACTTAATTTGATCATGTTTAATTAATAAAATAGTCGCACCATATATCGCAGCCAAATATATAGAAAGTTGTGCTAAAGTAATTGATAATATAAAAGCACTAAAATATTGTTGCGAGTGTGATATCCTATAATGGCAGTAAATTAGAGTGTCTGTATGCGAAGTCTGCCTTTACGTGTCTCTTCATTCGCTGAGTATAGAATGAATATTTATGTAAAAACTAATTTTCTTTTGTTAATGGTAAAGCAGTTCGAATATTTTAAAGTGATTCTCTGACTAACTAGGAATAAAAACAAAACGTAAGGTTTTGAATTGCAACATACATCATAGTCGCATACATTAGCTGATTGTTCATTTAATTTTTTTCTTCACTGTGAAGAAAAAAACAGACCTTCTAATTACATGAAAATGTTCCTCAGCCTATCGTGTATTTATGATGATCTCGTCTTTTCTCGTCTTTTTTCTAAGTCGAGTTATTGATTTTACAAAAGCCCATAGGGTTTTCGAGGTAATTCGCGTTTTTCCCATAAGAGCACTTTTTCATAACATAAAGTCATATTCGGAATCACCGTGAAAAACTACGTCGAATGATATATAGTTTTTTAATTTTTCTGCAGAAATATTTTCGGTCAAACTGAATTATACAGTTGAAAGCTTGTCCGCAGCAAATTTTGCTTAGGAAGTTGGATATTTATTTTAGCAATAGTACGCAAGTGTATAAACACATTTTTTATAGGTTTCCGAATATGGTCTCTCCAATAGTGAGGTTTCTGAAATGTAAAAATGTTTTTATGGGTTTTCCAGAGATCCGGTCTCTGGAAAACCCACAAGGAATTACTTCTGAGTTCTGAAAATTTCATCATTAGAAAGAGCATATTCGAAAACCAATAGAAAAACATGTTTATAGGCTTTCATACCAGTTCTACAGCATATGTCCGCCTGCTCTATAGAAAAATGCCCACTGTGTTGCATGAATACTTAGTAAAATGTCTCGTCTATAATTCCAACAGTCTTTTAGATAAAGTCTATAGCACAGTGAATATACGAACATTCCTTGTCCTGGATTCGAGTATATCTCTTAATTTCGCATTTTTTCTTTCCTACCTCATATGATATTTTCTGACGTCATATGCACTTAAATATTACATGTAACAGTATATATTGAGTGCAAAATCATTTATTGAGTTAGTTCATTCGATTCGCTTGCTTTTTTCGTGTGAATGAATCAGCATTTTCGATCGATACTTTGTATCAAATATCAAAGTCATTCTGAACCTGTGACAAAATCTGATTTGAATTTTTTTTTAAATCATTAAAATGACCGATGAATTTAATCGATATTATATTAAAATTCGGACAGTTCTGGAAATAGATGCAAAGACAATTTGCGAAGATTACAACAGCATTGGGACCTGATGCTCCAGCATATTCAACTGTTGAAAAATGGGCGAAACGTTTTCGTGAAGGTAGAGAGGATGTCACTGATGACTTTCGATGTGGTCGTCCGATTTCGGTACTTACAGATGAAAATATCGAACAAGTTCGACAAGTTATCGAAGATGATCCGCATTCAACCTATGATAGCCGAGACTTCCCTCTCTCATGGTGCAATAGAACGAATCATTCATGACTGTTTAAAGATGAGAAAAGTTACATCACGTTGGGTTGCTCACAAACTCAGTGATGAACAAAAGCAACAACGATTTAGAGTTTGTCGTCAAAATCTACCAAAATTTTCAGACTAGGAAATGGAGGTTATCTGATGTCATTACTGGTGATGAGACATGGATTTATCACAATCAGATTGGTCGAAAGTCAAGTAATGCTACATGGATTAGCGAAAATGAACCACCAAGGACCATTGTTCGTCGGAATAGATCTGAGCCCAAAACATTGTTTTATTTATTCTTTAGATCAAATGGTCCTGTTCTTATACACAAAGTTGATAAAGGCAAGACTATCGATCACAACTATTACATTGAAAATGGTCTCAAACCTGTTATTAATGAAAGACGAAAACAAGAAAAATCATCACGCACAAAATGCATCAAATTGCTTCATGATAATGGTCGTCCTCATATTCATCGGGATGCTATTGACTATTTAACAGAAGAAGGTACTGAAATAATACCACATCCACCATACTCATCTGATCTTGCACCCTGTGACTTTTGACTGAATGATTACATCAAGATTAACTTGGCTGACTAAGACAACGAAGAATCACTAGCTCGAGCGGTTTGCCAGATAGTGAACAATATTCCAGAAAAAGAGTTTGAAAAAAACTTTTGACAAAATATTAGAAAGAATAGAACTTTATATAAATAATAATGGTGATTATTTTGAACATTTAATAAAATAAAGCTAAATATAGATCTTTCTTTATATATTTTTATTTGATGTTTTGAAAACCTTTGGTAAATCCTAAATATATTCGAATCCTTAACGAGGAATGTTCACATGTTTATTGTATTATAAGCTCTATCTAAAAGACTGTTAGAATTATAGACGGAACATTTTACACAGTATTCATGCAATAAATCTTTCGATGTTAAGTATTTTATAAAAATTTAAGCATCGTTCTACGAACTTTTGATCAGCCCTAAGTAACAGAATAAAAGTAAATTCTAAAAAGGACTAGAAAATTCTAGAAAGGACTAGAATGAGAAACGGGTTATTTCATTTGTATTTTAGTTCTTTGACTGATACATCTTTCTGGTGTATCTCTGATACTTCTCGAGCCGTTTTCAGAATTTACTTTTATTCTGTTATTTCTTTTTCTTCTCTGTTAGTATTCTAGAATCGCATTTAACAGAGCAAAAACAACTTGTAGTTTACCGATTTTCCCTCAATTCAAGTTCATCCAAAATTTTTCCGAGTCCAGACCAGTCAATGGTCTCGAAAGTTTGAGTCCAGTCCAGTCCGAGTCCATGAAATCCAAAAACTTTGAGTCCAGCCCAATCCACATGGACTGGACTATGGACTCGGTCCAGTCCATACGAAGCTCTGATGTCTATGGTTGAGTATACTGTAATATACCGTAAAAGCTCACAGTAGAGAATCCGGGTTCAGAAAGTGTCGGGATGCTGACGAGATTTTTACGCCGTACAACGTAACTCGTCGCGCTGATTCCGAATATGTAAAAATCTCAAAGACCGTTTCTCTGGAAAAAAACACATCATATTGTAATATGTTCTCGCCCAGCAAATGTTTCTGGGTGTTGAACCTTGAAATATAGTTTTCTAGATGCGTTTTTCAACGGTGAATAAGAAAAACATAGTTTCACGGCTTCGAAATGAGGTGGAACCAAGTTATTCAATTTTTAAAAAAAGTTATTGGTTTTTCGAAAAAAGAGATCCTTCAAGTGTCTTGAATTTGTTTCACTGATAATGATACCTGGGAAGGCTAAAAATCAGATACTCTTGATCAGCGTGAAATCTCTATCGAATGATGTATGATTACGCCCAAAATAGAATATTGCTATAATTTTGAATTTGGAGCACCTTATCTTTAGAAAGAAATATGCCACGCGGTTACCAAAGATGTCATGGCGTTACTTTAGTTTAATGGCCTTTCTAAGCGATCGTAGCTCATTTTCAGAAAATTCTTTTTACTAATGTGTCGACCGTAACCTCTTCTACAA